TTTCTATGTGATTAGTCACTTCGAAGGGACTAATTTATTTTTCAAATTGATATTTAACAAAAAAAAATTATTTTGCAGAATTCACAAGCAAGTTTTCAGTCTAAGTACTAAGTACTTGAGATTTTAGACATCGTAAACATTTAGAGCGTGGTTTGAAGTTCATTATCAATTCTTAGTTAGTAAGATTCATGAAAGAAACCCCAATTAAGGCAACCCAACAAAGCCAAGCTCACCCAGAAGCTAGAAAAGTTTCATTTAGTAATATTATTTTTGCCAGCTTGGGTAATACGCATTTCATAACGGGTTGTAGGTGAGGTCCTGGCATGGTAAAAGTCTACGAACGTGAGCTTAAAGTGATTTACTAAATTTCAAAAGAATAAGAACTAAGACAATATTTCATTCTTCAAACTAAACAATTCGAAATTTAATTTATTTATTGTTTTACATAACTTGACAAAAGTTCGTAAATGTATCAGCTTCGTGACGTAATATCATAACCGAAGCGAAGTTTTGGACACTACATATTGAACTTTATTTCTCTCTGAAACACCTAACTTCCATAATACGAGTGACTCCACATATTGTAACATCCAGTAACAAGCTCCTTTATCTATTTGTCAATTGTTATTGAATCCTGCAGCTTTGTAGTTATCTTTAAGTTTATTAGAAGTCGATGCGCTTTGAATAAAACGTGCATAAGACAAAATCCAAAAATGCCCTGTCGATTCTTAAGTATGAATAACTGAGAAAAGTCGTAGTTTAATAACTGTTTGAAAGTCTCCATATGTGATCTGTGTTAAGATTCAAATTCTGTGGTTTATTCAGTTAGTTAGTCAGATACATAAAGTGTAAAAAATGATTATATTTTGATCTTTCTATGGACCGAGTTGCCCCAATAACTTACATTTAAGAAAAGGAAATAACATCCGCATTCAAAGCTGATAAAAATGCAACCCATAATGGATGGCAACCACCATTATACTTGTTTTATTATTGTGACTGACAGATGCAAAGCATCACTCAGTCAACTTAAACTAATATGTAAAGCCACTTGAGCTTGTATCTTTTAGAGAGAATCTTCATCGATATAATTTCTGTAAATTCCATATGAAAACATAACTTATACATACACTATATCAGTTCGTTTGTTTTTAGAACAAAGCCACATTGGGCTACCTGCTGTGTCCACAGCACCCGGATTTAAGCGTTGTGAGTCCGTAAACTTATCGCTGTCCCATCCGGGGATCAATTAATCAGACATAAAGGCGACAGCTTTCTGTTCAATCGCTCAAGACTGTAGGATTCCACTTACATTAATCCACTTACGACTTGAAAGTTGTTCTTTTTTTTACCAAATACTGTGAAACATATGAAACATTTGCTTTGTTTGATTTCAGGTCACAACTTTCACTGAAGCGTATAATGGCTGTACACCGTTTATCCTTCATACATTGGTATAAATAAATAATACTCGTTTTTTAATGAAGGACTGGCACGATCAGTGACCAAAAATCAATATTAGAGTTACTACTAAAATAGTATTTCACTGAAATACATACAACAAATTGACTTTGTGTACAGCAATTTCAGGTCACTGGAGTCAACAGAAACAAAATGGCAGATGTTTACATTTTGTCAAGAGAGATATCTGTTGTGTACAAAAAAAGATTTGTTCGTAAGCTAATAAACTGATTATAAAAAGCCAAAAGCCATTTTAAGATGTTTGACCACTTTAACTTTGCCAGTGCTTATGAAATTTATACATATAAAGTAGTTGCACAGAAAAATAAATATTTAAGTTTGTACTCTATTGAAAATTTGACTAGAGACTACTTTTTGACGCAATGGATGTACTGATTTGCTAGTCACTATAAAATGTTTATAGAAAATGTATAATAATTATTACTCAAACAAACAAAATCACCTGTTTTTCTCTATACTTGTTGATGGACATAACTTATCATAGATATTTCATAATCATCACCCTAACGCAAGGTGAGTCCAGACAAAATACCTGCCGTACATCCTAGTTTCAAGTTGAGACTTGTTAGAAGATCTAGGACAAATTTTACGTGTAATGCCTTTGAAGGCATTGTTTACATGTTGTTTCCAAAAATATAATGCTGAAAAAGCATTGAGTAAAAGAGGTCTTTTAAGACCAATATCTCTTGTATAATATTTATTAAAGCTACTAAAGATTATTAGCAAGTAAAATTAACCATTGTTAATACTTGAATAAATATCTTTTGAAATCAATATAATCTTCCATAAGTGATTTGATACGAATATATGAAAAGCAGCGTATATTCTATTTATATGAATGATTCATAAGAAAAATTTACATTTGCTAATACAGTGGTGTGTCGTCATAGATGTAAGTCATGATGCCTAGGGCAACATGTTTAACACCTATACGTTTGGTCTGTGGCGAATGCATGTCCATTAGACAATGCATTTTTGTTGTTTTGGGTAGACTAAAGGCTAGAAGAATATTTAGAAACAAAGACCTTTCCGAAGTAAAACTTCATACAGCGAAATTGAAAATCATGTAGAACACATAATTTCAAGGGGTGTTTAATATTCATCATAAAAGATAAAACTACAACAAAGCGTTGGGGACATCAGTGAGCTCTTAAACCACATTTCAAGCCTATCAGAAGCAATGTCTTCTTCCACAAAGGGAAGGCTATCATTAAGAAAGGGAACCATTTGAACTAAAAAGCCATTGTGATAAAATTGAATATATTGTTATTATAATTGAACAGATAATAAACAATAATTGGAAGCTGATGAAAGCCACACCTCAAAATCATAGCTATTTTTAATGAACGAGATGGTCAAGAAAACTAGAATTACAGCAATTCCATTCGAACACATATGTACATCAAGTCCTCTTGATGCAAATTCATTGGATATTTATGTATTTGGTTTACTTACACGTAATCTATGAAACCAAAGTCCGTGTATAGTAGAGTGTCAGTGAAAATTTTGTTTTTACTTGTTTGTTTGCTTGTAGCTAAGCGCAAAGGTACACAATGGGCTATCTGTGCTGTGCCCACCACGGGTAGCTAAACCCGGTTTCTAGAGTTATACGTCCGCAGACTTACCGTTGTGCCACTGGGGGGTACGAAAATTTTGTTAAGATACCTACTCTAGATAAGATCTTTAGTCCTGCGAGTGTCACAATGGAAAATGTCGTGTTGGGAAACAGGGAGTAATCGTGACAGTCAGACTGAGCCAGTTCTTTTGCAAGATCTCTCGTTATATGTCTATGTAATAATGAAATTATTTCGATGCTCATATTAAGTTACAGTTCTATAATTATGAATAAATATATATAATTGTTCTTGAAGTTATCATTGACAAAATTCTGGTCAAACATCTGCTGTGTATCATCTATTACGAATTAACAAGTGTGAATTTACAAACGTCGGAACTGTAATGAATTTTATAAGTCATAAGCAAGTGAAAGCTATTCTATATATGATTTTTAAACTACTGTACAGAGAAGTTCATTTATTGTTATAAGTGCTATATTCTAGTGTTCAATTGTTAGTATTATTATGAGAATTGTAATAAAATGAGGTTGAGGCAGTGAGTAAAGACTTATAATTTCACATGGGGTTTTACATACCAAAAGTTAGTAGGATTTTACTAGGTACAAATATAAATGAATTTATTTATTTCAGAACATTTCTTAATTAGGAAACAGGCAGAAATTAAAATACTCTGTATAATAAGAAACAGATCAACAAATTTCAAAGTAGCCCCTTGAAGAATCTCTATTACATTCAAAGTAGCCCCTTGAAGAATCTCTATTACATTCAAAGTAGCCCCTTGAAGAATCTCTATTACATTCAAAGTAGTCCCTTGAAGAATCTCTATTACATTCAAAGTAGCCCCTTGAAGAATCTCTATTACATTCAAAATAGCCCCTTGAAGAATCTCTATTACATTCAAAAATAGCCCCTTGAAGAATCTCTATTACATTCAAAATAGCCCCTTGAAGAATCTCTATTACATTCAAAATAGCCCCTTGAAGAATCTCTATTACATTCAAAGTAGCCCCTTGAAGAATCTCTATTACACATCAGTCTTTTCCGTAAATGACAGGATTGAAATAAATGATTTATATCTTCTAGTAATGACGATATTTTTAATAATATATTTAACGAACTGTTTATTAAACTGTACTTTAGCTTCAGTACAGTGTAATAAAATTAAAACTCTCGGGCATGTTATAGGTATAACATACCTATTCTGTATACTTTAATATAAGTTTAACATAACAGCAAAGGTACCTGATTATGACAAAACCTTGTCGAAACGTTGTACATTTGTTGTTATGTTAAACTTATATTAAAGTTTTTCTCCATTACCCATTCAAGCCGTCTCCAACCATTATTAGTCTCAAAGTGGGTTCCTCGTCATCGAATTTGAAGTTAAGATATGTCGTGCTTAAGTAAAATCGAAAACTATTCTTATAGGAAAATGAAAAAAAAAAAAATCAGTGCATCATCGTTCAACATTAATCCGATACAATGTACATAGAGAATACAAAACAAGATTAGTTAAATAAAGCAATTCAGTCTTGGCCAAGCGTGATTTGTTGACTATATATAATGAATAGATTGAGGTGCTATTATGATCCTTCTATTTATACGTATTTTACTTAAACTTTGCTAATAAAATACGAGTGAAAAACTGATAAGATACATCGTCTATATATTTCATAGAATACTTTCAAACTACTAAACTACTGCCTTTAAGGTAGTTTAGTCTTATTTTACTATCAATACGTTTCTTTAAAATATGCCACCCTGTGGCACAGCGGCATGTCTGCGGACTTACATCGCTAAAAACCGGGTTTCGATACCGTGGTTGATTATATTTATAAGCATGAGGAAAGTTTCTCGAAATTTCAGCTTACGCAGCAATATAAACAATACACCAGTGTTGACTTACACACGTATGTTGTTGATTCTTACACTCGAGAATTTTCTACAATTTTAGTGAATAGGCGAGAATTTCGCAATACAGATTTAACAGTATAAGTTATGTACATATTCAAATATAAATTTAACTTAAACAAACATCGATATTAAATAGATATATGATAGTAAATTCGTCACAAACATATAATCGAAAAAGCGCAATAGTAATTATTAGTTAACAGTTTAGCTACATTATTTCAGCTGATTTGAACACAGTCTTCAGATTTTCTATCGGTTACCAGGAAACACTGAAACAATAGTAATTGGCAGAGTATGTGATGAACAGAATAAAACAAAATAAAGGAACATGCCACATTTGCTATGTTTGTCGTCTTTGTGATCCATTGCCCTCTTGCACTGTACCTACGATGCATATTAACTACAATAGAAAACGTAAAAGTAGTCAGTTGTCAAATCAGTAATAAAATATTAAAAAAGGCGCTGCCATATTAGGGCGAGTTTTTCGCGGCGCCGAGTCTTAAAAGAAACAGTAACAACAAAAATTACTTTTTTGCCACAGATTAAGTTTGTTCTATTGAAGATCGTTACACTGTAATCTGTATTCAGCTTACTAATTATTATACCTTTGTTTTTAAAATTTTAATTGGTGATGAAAAGTACAGAGATTGTATGAAATCCTGTGGTTTTTGGCCAAGTAAATATTATGGTCTTTATATACTTCTAAAAAAATATTTTAACGTTTATTCTTCTCATTTTATATGTTGTTTTTTCACCGTCATGAACAAAAAATCTTACACAAATCTGAAATATATTGCAAACCGTGGTGTCTGTCCGAGCGTAAGGTCTGTCTCCGTCTTACGGCGGCCGCTTCCCTCGCTGCATTTGAAAAGCTGCGCACAGACAAAGCTCAACATTCACTTTTGAAATGACGGGAGAGTAGGCACGAATAATGTTGATGCCAAATTTTATTTCGCAAGCAGGATATTCTACAATAAATTGTTAGGAATTAATCACACTATCATTCACATTTCAAAATTTGACGTAACTTAAAGAATAAAAATGTAGATTTACCGTATGTTATTGTTGAAGGGCTCTTAGCGTGACTGAAATGCTCAACAATTACTTTTCGCGGTTGGCGTATAAGTAGCTCAGAAATTTGGTTCTGGGGAAAACCAAATGTGCAACACAATTAACTTTTTTATAGCTCAATAAATAATTTAAATCGATAGATTAACTCAAACTTTTCCCGTCACTGGGGACGGGCATTTTTGCTAGTATTCAGTAAAACAATAACACTTGCTGTTCAAGTTTTAGTGCATTGTTTCCACAAGCTTACTAGAACTGCATGGACCCCCAATGGCACAGCGGTATGTCTGCGGACTTACAACGCTAGAAACCGGGTTTCAATACCCGTGATGGGCAGAGAATAGATAGCTCATTGTGTAGCTTTGTGTTTAATTCCAAACAAACAAACAAAAGAACTGCACGGTCGATTCTATAGGTAATAAAGGTAAACATAGCATAATATATGATATAAGCAGTGGTGCAGATTTTATATACCTAGTAATGATTTGTGAAACATCTTTCTATAGGATCTATGCTAACACTTTGGATAATTTATTTTTTTGTCATAATGAAACATTAATTGCCAAAAAGCCAGAATCTTCACATAAAGTGATTCATAATTATCAAATTACAATCTTCTCCCAGCATCGAGACTATATAAAGTGGAATAAAATGTTCTCATACTAAAGCAAAACCATATCTCATTGGAAAGGTTGTTATCTCTATATTATCATGAGAAATGACGTAATATTGAACTGTTGTACTTATTTTGAAATGTAAGACATGAAAGAGATGTCCACAATATTTCCGAAATACAATGTATAGAATGATGCTTCATAGATGATGTCTATACCGTACGTTAAAGAAAGTACATGAATTTAAGCAACACTTTTATTTTTTCATACATCATATATGGGCAAAGTAAACTTATGTATAACGTATAATATAAAATTGGTCAGTGACACCAAAAGTATTTTGGGAAACATGTGCAATCAATCAGGGATGTGCCATAATAACCATACTGAATATACACACTTTATTCTGACTGTTTTCATAGCCAACATGCATAAGTATATTATTATTATTATATAACTTTCAAAAATATAATTTAATGGAAAATGGATTGGACAGTTCTATATTTATCACAAAAATTATTTACCAATTATTACGAATTTCAACTAAAGTTATTTATGTGTGTGTATTTGATAAAGATTTATTTCCTTTTTCACCAGAAGTGAAATCGAAAAGAGAATCTATGACGTAGAGGCCTAATGCATTCTTTGATTGACCGTACCCTCTGCTGTAAACTGCAGTTTCGTCTATTCAAGGCTGATCAGCACAGCTTGGGTCAACAAACCAAAGGAATACCATTAGGCCTGTTATAATGATGAGGTGTATATAATACTTATGGTGTTTTGAGTCCGTTTTACGTATTACGTATACTTCATATATACAATCATTAAACAGTTGGTCCGCTGTATAATATCAAATAATGAATTCGACGAAATGTCATAGAAACATTTACATACCTATATTAATTTAGGTTGTTATATGGTGAAGTAAAACAGACTCAAAACCCCAAAAATAAAGTTATTTTTCTTTCACCATCAAAATAGTTTACAGTTAGGAAAACTGAACAGTCTTCGTAATGCAAGCATGGTAACTTGTACACAAGGATGGTTTGATAAACAACATGTAGCACGCATTCCCTTAAATGTCAACATAGAATTCGTCCATTCATATGATCGACTTCATCATTACTATCATACGTAAGAACAGAACCTTGCTTGTGTGCATTTTATGACAATCATTGCTTCCACCACATGCACAGGACTGTAAACAAGATAGAGAATCCGAGGAACAAGAACATATATTTTGGGATTCAGATTTGACAACAAGTTCAAGAATCGGTTTGGGAACTACATCTTTCTTTCATTAACTTAGAATCGAATGAGTTATCATATTCAATACACCCATGCACAGTTAGAGGAGGCAAGCTGGGTGTTTTTCGGTACATCCATGCACAGTTAGAGGAGGCAAGCTGGGTGTTTTTCGATTCACCCATGCACAGTTAGAGGAGGCAAGCTGGGTGTTTTTCAATACACCCATGCACAGTTAGAGGAGGCAAGCTGGGTGTTTTTCGATACATCCATGCACAGTTAGAGGAGGCAAGTTGGGTGTTTTTCGATACACCCATGCACAGTTAGAGAAAGCAAGTTGGGTATATTCTTCAAGGCTTCCTTTTCTATATATAGGCCTGATGATTACTTTGCTTAATACACTGCAGTAGATTATTCTTTGTTGGTGATAGAGAATCATTTGGTTTGTTCTGTACAGAAATGCTGATAATGTAGCTAATTGATATCTGCTCAGTCTTATTTTTGTTTTTGTAAATGGCACAAACAAACTGCTCCATGGCCTTCAAAGTATCCTCATTGACCTGTGTAAACATGCCGATTTTAGGGGGGGTTGAATGCATCTTGCTGCTTCTTGAGGAGCTACCATGGTTTGATCTTGCTAAAAGATTTAAATCTACTGGTGGAGTCACACCCTGTTAAGACATGGAAGCCTGAAAAGAACTAATTCAGTTCTTACCAAAATTATGTCACAATTGAATGAATAGGTATGGAATGAATTTTGTCTTTATTTCCTGATTTTAACTAAAGTAATATTGCCCCCCAAAAGACGTAATCTATGCTGACAGGATTAAGACATCTGTATCAAGAGAAGCTATAACCGTTTTGCATGTCTGAGCATTGTGACCAGCATTCACCAAAAGGAAAGCATTAGCCACTCCATGGCTGCTTTCCACGAATGGCTCATCATAGCTACTAGCTAGTAAAATATGCTTTACAGCTTTAGCAGTTTTGATTTTCCTCACTCAGATGCTAAGAAGTGCACCATTCTTGTCTTCTTGCCTTCGCTGCAGATTAATTTTGCCAACTCTCTTGGTAACCAAATATTTGTAACTTATATTCTGGAAGATTGTGTGCTCTCTGTATTATCCTGACTTATGTTGGATAGCATCTGACCAAACTTGTTTAACATAACATCCACATGTTTGCTACTTTTAGTTTGAAATGGACAGAGAACCAAATGTGACAACATTTCAGCCAGGATTGAGCTTGGGACTCACAATGCTTCAGATTGGTTGAATGTCTGAAAGACATAAAGCATTTCTTGTGCTAAAATACCTCCTTGTCATTCAGTGAGGTAGTGACACGTTCAATGTGAGTACCCTCATCATCATGTGTTTTGGGGGAGCATTAATAACTCATCATCCGTACTACTTGAAACCATCTCTACCAAAAAGCCTTCTTACCCTCTGAAAGAAACAAAATAGTATTATTAATGTTTTACACAATATAACAACGTAATTCACAACTATGGGTGAAAATGTAATAAATATATATAAAAAAATATGAAACTCAAATGTAAATGGGTTTGGATACAGTTTTTGGCAATGAATTAAACCAATATCAAATCTGACATTACGTTTCTAAAAAAAGCAAAAAAACCTAAAAACTCTTCAGACATTTGGGCTTGCCTAACGTCTAGTAGCACAGGTGATTTGCACACTTGGGCTGCTTAGTTGCTTTCTGTCATATTTTAAAACCGGCAAATTATGTCTTAAAGTGACCCAGACATGCTAAGATTTATAATTAGGTATGATGTGGCTTTTAGTATGGAGTGAACATTAAGTTCACACGTTACTGGAGTTTGGCTACAGGACTACCTAGCAAATATTGTCAGTGATAGAGTTTAAGAGATATTTCTACCAAGGAGGTATTTTTGTATTTTATTATTTTTGAAACTATCTTATAGTGATTGAATTATTTTTTTATATGAACAAAAGAAGAATTACTTTTGTTTATTTACTATGTTTACTATGTTCTCAATTTTTGGGGGCCAGTTTCCCGTTTTTAGCTTACATTTAATAAAATAAACCCAAAAGATATAGAAATAACAATGAGAATGTATGCACTTTAAAA